TACATGTGTGTATGTGTGTGATACATGTGGCAGTGTGCTTACAAGTGCATAAGAGTGTCTGGTGTCCTGCTCTACCACTTGTCACCTTCTTCCTCCCACTGCTAGGGTCACAGGTTTCCAGCCATGTCTGACTTTTCAAGTGAGTGCTGAGAACGCAAACTCAGGTTCTCATGCGTGCACAGAAAGCGTTCTTAACTAACAGCACAGATGTTTTTATTATCATTATTTTCTTAAATGTGTACTTTATGTAACCGCCTCAGAGCAGATGCAGTGCTCCTGTTTCCTTTGTATAAACCGAAAGGGTTTATTTGGTTAAAATACGTTGGTGTTTGTTATGCGTAGAGGAGCTTAAGGTTTGGGTGCCCAAAGGCTTGAATGAGCCAGGTTCCAGTAGCTTGTAATAGCGCTTTTCTTCAGTATGAGCTCTGTGGGCTTCATTTGCCTAACCTGCAAGTGGAAATGATTACAGTCAGGGAATGTTGGGAGACAACATGAGTCCTGGATGTACAGGGCAAAATACTACTGCAATGGTCAGTGATTTTTTACTTCTGTTACTCTAGAATGCGTGTGATTTTAAACTTCCTCGATATATATATGACAGCCTTCAAAAACCTTTTTTGACAGTATTGCCTCCATTTAAAGGAAGACCAAAGAGAATAGTCCAACTCAAACCAATTAGGAGGGGGGAAAACCCCTTCTTATGAAAGAGTATCAGGAATCTTCACGTTACAAAGGCAAACATTTCTTATGATGTCCATTTTCTTCTTTTGTGTGCATTCCCAACACTATAGTCTCTACAAGGCACATGTTTTTGTTTGTTTGTTTGTTTGTTTTGGTGTGTGTGTGTGTGTGTGTGTGTGTGTGTGTGTGTGTGTGTGTGTGTTTTGTAAGAGGAGGATGATCTGAACAGATGCCAACCACCTCGGAAAGTAAATGACAGTGTTAGCAGGGGATGAGGGGAAAGAGTCGCTAACAGGTTTGCCTCACCCTCAGAGTTAGCCTAACCAGAGACAAAGCCTGAAAGAATTTAATTTCTACCACACTATAAACACATGCTGATGCCAGGTGGTTAGCCAAAAGTTCCAAAAGTTACAGCAGATGGGAAGGCTTTGACCTTCTCACATAGAGACAGACCAGGGCTAGAGAGAAGGCTTAGCCGGTAGGAGCACTTTGTCCTGGTGGACGACCTGGTTTTAATTCCCAGCATCCATGTAGTGGTTCACAACCTCTGACACTCTGCTGCCTTTTCTTGCCTCTGTGGGCACTGCACACATGCACACTGCCCACAGACATACCTATAGTCAAAGTACTCATGCACATAAAATAAGAGTAAATCTTAAACACACACACACACACACAGATACCAAACTTTCTCCATAGAGGTCATGGGACAACATATTGAAATAATTTATCACTTAACGCTGGTGATTTAAGGCTGATTAGTAACCTGGCTGGAGGGACCTGTTGAAAGTTTAGAAGTTGTACAATAATTAAAATCATTCCTTTACTTCACAATCTAACTTCAAACAGGTCACTCAGACTTTTCACTGAATTATAAACAAAGGTGGATTTTACTTTTAATAACTAATTAATGTAACACAATTTAAGACATTTCAAATCCTAGTTGATTAAAGAGACTCTCATTACTTGCACTATGATCAAATCTCAAATTAATAAACTGGAAGATGAAATGCCTTTCTCCACAGCATTCCCAATGGGAGACCATTAAGTCAGTGGAAATACTTGTAGAACAGGTGAACTCATATGACCATGGCTTCAGTCACATAAATGTACAGTAGTTGCTCAGCTAAGGCAACAATTTTAGGAGATGACAACATGTCAACCCTTAGGGCTTTGGTGGAAGAGCTGAAACAGGGCAGTGATCTTGGAGATATGAGGAAGTGTTAGTCAACCAGTTTTGATGTCCCCTAAATTTCATGATCTGGACCTGCTTTTGCAGAAAACACAGAAGAGGAAATGAAAATAAATAGAGGCCTTTGGAAATTAAAAAAAGAGAGTAATGTAATGGGCTGGTACAAATGAAGAGATTCTAATAAGACTATAAAACCAATGAAACAATGGACCCCAAAGAAATGAGAATTTCTCCAGGAATCTCAAGCTGGGAGGAGGAAAAGAGGCAGCCAGAGGGGGAACTTCTCTCCCCTGAGAAGAAATTTCACATAGTTCTAACAACTTGTCATCCTACATTACAGTATGAGATTGAAGTAAAGACAATGTTTGATGAGTCAGCAGTATGTGGGACCACACCTTGCTGGGGTTTCTTCAATGTGCACATCCTTAGATCTCTATTTAAACTTGACTCTCACTTCAGGATCGGAAGACAGACCCAGGTGGGATTTCCAGATCCTTTTATATCTCTTCAAAATATGGGCACATTGATTTAATCTTCTTTTCTGTTTTTCTCTATTAATTTGACTCTTTTAATCAGCCTATTGGGGATGGGCAGCTGGACATGGCTTGGGGCACAGGTTGTGACCCTCTCTAAGTACTATAACAGTGGAGCTAGCGCCCTATAAACCAGGGTCCGACAAGAGAATAGAGAAAAAAGAAAATGCACAGCTTAAGGGCTTAAGGACAGATGGAGTGTCTACTAATGCACATGCTCCGAGGACAGCACTTAGAATATTTACTTCACTAAGGTTTTCCCTGATCCCTGAATTCCACAATAAAAAGAGATACTGATAAGTCAATTTCAGTTGTAGCCTGAAGTCTGCATAAGAAAGCACAAATTAGTTTCTCCAGTGAAACAGGAAGAGGGTTTCTATTTTTAAAAAGAGTAGGTTAAGAACATGCATGTAGCAAAAGTCTTGATTTTGTGGTCTTTAAAATACTGTATGGGAGAAGGCTGGGCAGAGGCCAGGGTACTCACAGGCCTTCCGCAAAACATTCAAGCAACAGGGTTTCCCCTTTGAGGACAGTCATTGTGGATGCACTACCACTCTCAGCAGGAGGCAACAGAAGTTTGGGTTTCCTTTGTTTGATTGAATTTGCTGGAAAAGAAACAGGAGGAGTCAATTCCCTCTCGAATAAAGATAGTAAACATTCTATGGTGCTAGATTGTTCTTAAAAATGACTTCACATCGTTTTATGTTACATCTTCGTGTGCTGCTTCCTAAACAGATTCTCTTGTGCAAGACATGCATCCAAGGAACCAGGTGTCTTTCAGTTTCTTTACCAACTTTTATAAATGTCACAATGTATACCACAATGTTCTTTTTCAGAAAGTGAAGATTCATGACAACTTCTTGAAGACACCCTCAAGTTAACCGATAGTCTGACTTTGTACTCTATAGTTTGACCATACCTTGTTATTTTTTTCATTGATGAAAACGTCTTTTTTTCCTTTTTTAATTATTTTATTTTACAATATAATTTAATTTTACATATCAACCACGGATTCCTTTGTTCTCCCCCCTCCCTGCCCCCTCCTCTTCCCCCCAGCCCACACCCCATTCCCATCTCCTCCAGGGCAAAGACTCCCCCAAGGATTGAGATCAACCTGGTAGATTCAGTCCAGGCAGGTCCAGTCCTCTCCTCCCAGGCTGAGCCCAGTGCCCCTGTATAAGCCCCAGGTTCCAAACAGCCGACTCATGCACTGAGCACAGGACCTGGTACCACTGCCTGGATGCCTCCCAAACAGATCAAGCCAATCAACTGTCTCACCTATTCAGAGGGCCTGATCTAGTTGGGGGCCCCTCAGCCATTGGTTCAGAGTTCATGTGTTTCTATTCATTTGGCTATTTGTCCCTGTGCATACCTTGTTATTTTTGATGATTATGTATGTTTATTTAATTTATTGATCTAAGTATTGGATAGTATACCTTCTAAAAACACAGCTTCCTGGGGAACTTTATTGAGAATTCAGACTGGGGAAACTTACAGTAAACACAAGGCATCTATGAATTTATTTAGCGTCAGAAAATTCTTTGTAGTCTTAGACCCCCAAGGATACACTGTTTTAGGACATGATTCATAGTAAGTCTCCCCACTAAGTAGAGACTGGGAAGCTTCATTTCTCCTTTTCTTAGTATTTTTAAAATATAATGGCAAATTAAGACACTTCATTCACGCTACACTTTGATATCATTTCCAAATATGAACATAAATTGTTTTTACAACCATTGCCAAGATGACTTTATCATTTGTGGAAAGACAATGAATACTGATCTACTCTCAGAAGAAAAATGTGTAAGATATAGGAAACCATGTGCAGTCTGCTTTGCATTTCCTTGCATGTATTTATATATTAGAAATGACTTTTGAATTTATACTATATGCAATGTTCTTCTTTGTGCTCGAAGAGTATATATACATGTATTATATGTAGAAGATTATATGTATATATACATATATGTATATAAATTTATATGTATTACTAATCTCAAAGAAAATGATGCTGGGGATGAGTCAGCACACATGAAATGGCACCCAAAGAGGAGCCTTATCCACTTCTGATGACATTATCAGTATACTAGAAATCTAAGTGAAGCCTCTAGTTTAACATCATATAAGGGGTATTTATTTCATTCATATATGGGTTATAGTGTAGCAAACAAGTTGACTACTTAAAAGGTTTCATAGACAAGAGAATTGGAGACTGCACACATATATATGTATATGTATATATATATGCATTGAAAACTGCATTCTTTTACAGAGTTAGAATACACAGTGATTTATCAATTGTTCTGATAAGTCTTGCAAGTAAAATTAATTCACTTAACTTTCCTAAACCCAGTGTTTGTCTACTTTTCTTGATATTAGACATTTATATTCTCTTTCCTTTTGTAAAGTTATCAACCTTCCATGTCATTTGTGAACTCTTAGGAGAGCCAAATTTATACGCGCGCGCGCACACACACACACACACACACACACACACTTTTATAGATATACCTAAAACTACAGATACAAATTTATATGTTAATTATGTATGATTATATATTACTTGTAGAGATAACACACACATATATTTACATATACACACAAACTCACACACACACACACACACATATATATATATATATATATATATATATATATCTTTGCTAAATTCTAAAACACAGTGGATCATAAAACTTTCTATACTAAAGGGTTACTTAACAGAAATATTTGCATTGTTTCTCATAAATTCTTGGAGTAAATAAAGGAAAAATTCAAACTGAGATGACAATGAATGACTAAAAGTAAAAATAAATGCCCAAATGCTTCACATGGACAACTTACCCTTGGAATTAATTTCTGTGGATGAACTTGAATCATTAGCATGCTTTACTGAAATAAAAAAAAAGATGGAAGAAACTAATACAAACATAATGGTAGATGCTGACATCAATAAAGTATGAAAAGTCAAGGTCATGCATTTATTTCTGAAAAATTACAAAATGAAGTACAGCCATTCCATTTGCACAATGTCTATGGGACTATATATTCATACATACATATATATACACACACACATATATGTATATATATGGAGCTTAAACTTGAAGTTGTGAAGAGACAAGTGATAATTCTATTACAGAGATTTCAGTCTACTGAAAGGCATCATAGAGAAGACCCCACACATCATATGACACAAGATAATGGAACAATCATGGACTAAATTAGACAATGAAATCGTCATGCTAAACTTCTGCTCGACCAGGGCCAATTACTCAGTCAGGAAGGTGCTGGGATTATTCTTTGCCTTTGATCTTACCACTTCACCTCCCACTAATTACTTCTCCCCTTTTGGGAATCCAGATATGCATGTGCGGATTCAAATAGGAAACAGAAAATCAATTCAGATAACTTTGTCAATTTGAGAAGGACAAAGAAAAAGGTTGATGTGATAAAAAATATAAATGGTGATTTTCTTTTGACTCAATTTTTGTCTCCTTCATTTTCAGCCTGCTGATTTATCCAAGGTCATGGTGAGCCCATGCCTGAGATGTGCCTTATGCTCACTGAAAATGAGTAGATCCTGCAGACATCAAATGAAACACATTCGTACTGTGAATTGAGATTTTATTTTCTGGCTGCCAGAGACACAGCTACTGTGGATGTGCAGCTGCAGATGCCTAGATCATTTGTAGGAAGTCTCGGGAGTTAAACAAAACAATGGTAGAAAAATGTCTTCGGAGAGAAGAATGAAATTACGCACATATTTGCATTCAGCATGAGTGAAGGAAGAATAAATCATTTGGACTTACAACTGTTCACAGTTAGTTTCATTGGCATTTTTTGTACAATCGTCCTTAATTTTGGAAATGCAGCAAAGCAACAGTAATCATTTCGACTGTCTTTTTCTTCCACATTTGCAAAGTACAGATCTCCCTTTTGGCTCATGTAAACTCTTTCATCTTGTTTAATGTGTTCTAATTCTGCAAGGAAAAAGCAAAAGTGAAACCTTGTCACTAAAATGGGCTGCCCCTTCTCACAATGCTGCATCAGATTTTTACATTTCTATTTTTTATATAATTTATATTGTGATGTCTTCTTGTCTGTTTTTCCTAGTTTTCTACAGTTTATTCTTACTGTAAGAGGAGTGAGCAAGAACACAGCTAAAAATAGGCAACAATGAAATCTTTGGAAGGCTGAGAATCTCACAGATTTGCCAGAAGTTCGGTGTTCCTTTTCTCATTACCAATTGGTCTCTACCTTTGCTATGGCTTATCTGAAAAGTGTTCAGTCCTAATGACAATCAATTATTACTTTTATTTTCTCGCGATGATATTTCTCTGAAGCTGTGCTCCTCAAAAGTTTTGTGTGAGCACCAATCATCCTGCATTGGGGAGCAGTTGTGTAATTCTAGGATGAGTGAAGGATACAGATTTTGGCTGCAGACAAGTGTAGCTTCACTAATTCTCCTCTGGCTGCTTTACAAATATGATTTTTCTATGTAACACAATGGGGAAAACACCCAGAGGGCTGCTATGAAGCATGTGACAGAAGAGGCTTTGTGAGAGGTTTCAGGAACCACCAAAGCACTTCAGAAGATAAATCACACAGGCTGACACTGTTTATAGGCCACTGATTTTTATCAGATAGAACTAAGATAAAACTGTAATACTAAACAAACAACAAACCCAAGACCCTTCAACTCTGACCTATCCTGTGTTCCAAAGATAAGGACTGTGGAAGGAAGATTTTTCACAGGTGTGTCCTATCATATGAATACTCGCCCTCCAAATATTATAAATCAAGGAATGTAATGATTTTCTATTGTTTTTATATATACATTCCAGTTTATTCTCAGGAGAAAGGGTGGAATTTCACATGTATCCAGTTTTGAAATCTATTTGATTCTACAGGATAGTCAATCACATATGAATGGTTGTTTTCATTATGTTACTTACATAGTGCATGGAATTAACAATTAATAGTGACCCAGAATGGTGGACCAGAACACTACTTACCAATATTCATCCAATAGATATGCAAAGGCGGGAGGCCTTTGGGAGGGTTGCAGGGCAGGACAATGGAATCCCCTTCCTCCACATCCAAGGGTTCAATTTTTTCTTTTGGGAATTTTGGAACACCTGATAAAATCATCACCATGAGACATGAGACACAAGATATTCACTTTTAATGTAACCTTAATATTTTCTATGTTATTAATCACCAATGACATTTTTGTCATAAAAATGAGCAAGTAAGAAATTCAGCATTTCATGTCTTTTTTCTCATATCTATCGTACAGATGCAAACACTGTTAAGAATATGGTAAGATGAGGCTGCCCCAGACCTTCTCTTCTTTTTCTGTTCCTCCAGTTCCAATCTCTGGGTCTCATCCCCAGCTCTACAGCAGAACCAGCTCTACAGCAGAACACCCTTGGCAGCCCAGCCCACTCTCATCTCCCATAGTTCCCACAGATGTTGCTCCTTCTAACTTTCCTCCCCAACTCCAACCTTTTTCCCAGACCCCAACCACCTCAGGCATGCCCTGCTAATGCAAGGGCAACCTCTCCTATAGTAATAAGTAGGCAGAAGGCAGACCCACAATTCTCCTACTGCTCCTGAGATCCAACTGCCTCCCAACTCCCCACCAGGTTCATCTCCAATTCTGAAGCAGGAAATCGGCTCTGTTTTCTCTTTCCTGTCTCAACCCATTCCCAAGAGATCACAAATACCTTCTCCTCCAACCTTCCTTATCCCAGTATCCCAGCCTCCAATACCGGCAAGCATTTCCTATGAGCATACTACCCAAGCAGGCCAGAAAAACAGGCAACACACAGCCATCACATACTCTAAAAATCCAGGGAATAAACAGAAACCAAGAAACAAAATACACCCAACAAGGACAAATCCAGAAATCATCACTTCGACCTATAACAATACCAGATCAAGTGTAAAAGACAGTAATAGGCAGGAAAATATGTCTTTACTGGAGCCCAGCTATCCTATCACATCAGGCCCTGAATATGCCAGCATAGCTGAAACACAAGAAAAAAAAAAACCCTAAAACCAAGTATATAAAGATGATAGAGGTCCTTAAAAAGGAAATTAGTAAGTACCTTAAAGAAATCCAGGAAAACACAAACAGTGTGAGGAAATTCATAAATTCTTAAAATTCTTAAAATAAATTCTTAAAGAAAGCCAGGGTAACACAAAGAAAAAGCTCGAGGAAATGAATACATCCCTTAAAGAAACCCAAGAAAACATAAACAATCAGTTGACAGAAAGGAATAAAATTGTTCAAGACCAGAAAATGAAAATAAAATTAATAAAGAAAATACAAACAAAGGGAATTCTGGAAATGAAAAATTTAGGAATTTGAATAGGAACTACAGGAGAAAGCTTCACCAACAGTATACAAGAGCATGAAGAGATAGTCTCAGGCATTGAAGATACAATAAAAGAAATGGATACATCAGTCAAAGAAAAGGTTAGGTCTAAAAAACTCCTGGCACAAAATATCTAGGAAATCTGGAGCACCATGAAAAGACTATACTTAAGAATAAAAGGAGTAGAGGATACAAAGAATTCTAGCTCAAGAGCCCAGAAGATATTTTCAACAAAATCATACAAGTAATGTCCCTAATCTAAAGGACGACATGCCTATAAAAGTATAAGGAGCATACAGAATGCCAAATAGATTATACCAGAAAAGATTATACCTTGACACATAATAATCAAAACACTAAACGTACAGAAGAAAGAAAGAATACTAAAAATGGCAAGGGAAAAAGACCAAGTAACATATAAAGGCAGACCTATTAGAATTACACCTTACTTCTTAGTGGAGATTCTAAAAGCCAGAAGGGCCTGGACTTATGTGCGGCAGACTCTAAGAGAGTACAGATGTCAGTCCAGGTTACTACTTAGCAAAACTTTTAACCAACAAAGATGGAGAAAATAAGATATTCCATGATGAAGCCAAATTTAAACACAGTCTTTCTACAAATCTAGCCCAACAGAAGGTGCTAGAAGAAAAACTCCAACCCAAGGAGGCTAACTGCATCCACGAAAACATAGACGATACATAATCTCATTTCACACCAGCAAAATCAAAAGAAGGGAAACACACACACACACACACACACACACACAGAGAGAGAGAGAGAGAGAGAGAGAGAGAGAGAGAGAGAGAGAGAGAGAGAGGCATACATACACTCACATGTACACCACCACCATCTCTAAAAATCAGTGGTCTCAATTCCCTAATAAAAAGAAAAAGAAGCACAGAATGTTTGTGAAAATAGTATCCATCCTTCTGATGTGTCCAAGAAACATACCTCAACTTCAAGGATAAACGTAGCCTCAGGGTAAAGGGCTAGAAAAAAATATTCCAAGTGAATGGACCTAAGAATCAAGCTGGTTTAGCCATTCAGTGTATAACAAAATAAACATCAAAGCAAAACTAATCAAAAGAGATAGTAGATGACATAACATTCCCATCAAAAGAAAAGTCCACCAAGATGACCTTTCAATTCTTAACATCTATGTCCTAAAAACAAGGGACCCAAATTTAAAAAAGAAACATTACTACATCATAAACAATTTATTGACCCTCACACACTCATAGTGGGAGACTCACCAATGGATAGGTCATCCAGAAAAAAAAAAAAACTAAACATAAAAAATGCTAAACTTAACATGTTATAAACCAATTGGACATTACAGGTGATATTTACAAACTATGTCACTCAAACACTAAAGAATATACCTTTTTCTCTGCATCTCATGTAACTTTCTCCAAAGTTGACCACATTTGGATATAAATCAAGTCTCAACAGATACAAGAAAATTGAAATAAATCCCTGTATCCTATCAGACTACCAAGGATTAAATTTGGATATCATCACAGAAGCAACAGAAAGGTTACAAACTCATGGAAACTGACAAATCTCTATGGAATGAAAAGTGGTTCAAGACAGAAGAAATAAAGAAATTAAAGATTTCTAAAATTCAATGAAAATGAATACACAGCATACTCAAACTTTTGAATTCTAATGAAAGTGGTGCTAAGAGGAAAGGTCATAGCACTAAGTGCCTATGTTAATAAAACAAAACAAAACAAAAAACTGGTGTTGGCATAAAAACATATATGTTGATCAATTAAATTGGACTGAAGACCCAGACATAAATCCACACACCTACAGACATCTGAATTTTTATAAAGAAGCCAGAAAAACACAATGGAAAAAAGAAAGAATCTTCAACAAATGGTGTAAGTCAAACTGTATGTCTGCATGTAGAAGAATACAAATAGATCCATACTTATCACCCTGCACAAAACTCAAGTTCAATTGGATCAAAGACATCAACATAAAATCAGATACACTAAACCTGATAGAAGAGAAGAGAAAATGAGGAAAAGCTTTGATCTCATTGGAGGAGAAAACTTGCTGAATAGAACACCGATAGCAGTTAATAAATGGGACCTTATGGAACTGAAAAGCTTCTGCAAGGCAAAGGACACTGCCATTCCATCAGAGCGGCAGCCTACAGAATAGGAAAAGATTTTTTTTACCAACTCCACATCCACAATAGAGGAGTAATATCAAAAATATATAAAGAACTCAAGGAATTAGATATCAAAAAGCAAATTCTCCAATTTTAAAATGGGATACTGATATAAACAGAGAATTCACAACAGAGGAATCTCAATGGCTAAGGAACACTTGCAGGATTGTTCAACATCCTTAGGAAATGAAACATCAAGGAAATGCAAATAAAAACTACTTCGAGATTCCACCTTATATCTATCAGAATGCCCAAGATCAATAACACAAGTACCAGGTCATACTGGAGAGGATGTTGAGCAAGGGGAGCATTCCTCCATTGCTGGTGGAAGTACAACTTTGTACAACCATTATGTAAATCAATATGGCAGTTCCTCAGAAAATTGGGAATCGATCTACCTCAGCATTGCTTGGCCAAAAACTCAACTGAAAGCAACCTAGTCCCACCACTGGAAGCCTCACCTAGAAATGACCAATTGAGACTCTGTAACCCTCACAATTAAGAGTCCTTATTAAGATCACCTTCATAGATGCCAGGGAATTTCCAGTGCACTAGTTTTCCACACCACCTCACAAATGCCCCACCCCAATTCCTGTAGTCTCTCCCAGAACTCTCTCCCTCCATCCCATTTCCCCCTCAACCTGATTTCCCCTCAATGATCTTCAGCCACCCCCAGTCTGCCTGTAAAATGCATTTTATTTCCCCCTCCCAGGGAGATCCCTGCATTGCCCCCTAGAGAACCTCCTCTTTACCTAACCTCTCTAGGTCTATAGATTGTAGCTTGATTATCATTTGCTTAATGATTAATAGATCCTTATAAGTGAAAACACATTTCTTCTCTATACAACTACATGTTCTATGTCTCTCTACCCACTCAGCTACATCTCTCTTTCAACACACACACACACACACACACACACACACACACACACACACACACACTGCACAGCTCTTTACACAGTTCCTTCACATTCTTCCTCTCATAGCCAAACTCAGCATACATATGAGTTACATTTTCAGGGTCACAAAGCACTTCTAGAGTAAACAATCAGAGATAGAGCCTGAGTGATACATACATAAGGAATGCCATGGTTTCTCTCAGGCTAGGAAGGTCACATTGACCGGCTAATGAGTAGCACTTGGCCAAGCACATAGCCTGAGTGGTTAGCATTCACAGACAGAGAATGATATTGAAATTCAGGACTTAACAAGAACAGTTAGTAGGCTGAAACTTAAATGGTTGTGTTACATGCAGAAAGAGAATTATTGCAGAGGGTTATGTCTACCAAAGTTGTTTCAAGTCTGACCTTGATTCAGCAATAAACACCTGGAACTTATGCTTGTATATTCTCTGCAGAGGCAGCTAGTCTGTTTTGAATTTGTTCTGAATTCTAAAATTAGCTGTCTTTGTGATTGAGAACACTGTTACTTTCCTCTGTTAGTTATGAAATATATTCTAGTATTATTTTTATTCATCAAAATTATATAGCTTAAACAGAAATCATCTTCCTGACCATACACAACTAAAAGTGTGCACAATAGATGGACTATTTTCACAAGAGAAACACATAAC